TTTTTTTTTTTTTAGCAAACTATACTCTTGACATCCATCTTGAACGAAAAATAACCTGGTGCAAGATGCTGTAGCTTAAATACTATTCGGATGTAAAAAACAAACAAAAAAATAGGATTTTCTTTCTTTTTTTAGTTTAGTGTACTTTTCTTTTAAAAATTTTGATTAATTAGTAAGAAGCCCCACAAATTATTTAGTCTAAATTGTTTTTTTCCCCTGTGATTCATGTACAGATACTAACAAAACCAGAGTAATCAAGACGATTATTGAAGAGGTGGCACCTGATGGTAGAGTCCTTTCATCAATGGTTGAATCAGAAACCAAGAAACACTACTATTAAGCCGCATCAAGAGGAAAGAGTCTCCCTTCACACAGACCATTATGTACAGGTGCATGAAAAACAAAAGCTCCAAGAAAACACTTCAGTCTTAATGGTCAATGGAAATAGGTTCACTCCTTGAAAATAAGGTGTCTAAAAGGTGTTTTGTGGTTTCTGTATTTCTTTTCACTTTACCAGAAAGTGTTCTTTAATGGAAAAAAAAAAAAAAAAACTTTCTATTCTCATTCACTAATGAATTTCAATAAACTTTCTTACTGATGCAAGCTATCCAATTTGGTCAGAATTGTCCTTATTTAAATTAAGTGATTTTTTTTTTTAACCTTAAAGATTAGTGAACTATAGCATTTGAAGGTTGATTTGTCCAGAAATTCTAAAGACAGAATTATTATCATTATGATTTCCCTGAGTAAATTTTTTAATCTTGTGGGTGTTAGATCAATGTCCATAATCTCACTAAGTCAGAAATCTGATACCCAATCTTACCCTCTCTTAAAGATATACCATAGGTGGGAAACTCCCAGTGCTCTGGCTTTGAATTATTTCAGTCCTGAAAATTCTAAAATATCTCCAGTAAGTCTCCATGGATAAAGTTACTGGAAATTTCACATTTTCTGACTACTTGGCTTCACCCATTTACCTTCCCTCATTTTCTTCCCATTCATTTCTGCCCAGTTGCTATATATACACCTTAGAGATATCATCTACTACTCACCAGGCCAGTAATATATCACCCTAACAAAATTATTTGGTGTCTGTCAGATGAACAGAAAAAGACATGATAATGCCAATTTTACCAAAGGAACAACTCTAGGTCCCTGCCTTCACCAAACACATCTCGTGATAAGTACTAAAGACCTGGTGTAGGGTCAACCCAGTCATATTCTTCAGCCATTGAGAACCCAGCTGACAGTACTCTGCTAGTATATGGAGTAGATGGATTTACTAAGGGCTATATTTATTCTTTGTCCCTAAGACTACCTTGTGTTCCCTGGTGGGTTCCTAGATACCCGGGTCTACCAAATAGCAGCCTGTCTCTGTATCCTTACTGATTTGAGCTTGTTTTCCCCAAGACCAGAGCCTTGGTCCCCAGGTCATTTACTTGGGTCTCCTGCTGGATAAACACTATCCTCTGTACTCAAACTGATGACAAGCCCTGTTTCAAAATGGATGGACTTCCCTATAGTCAAGGCTCCATGACCTACCTACCACCAAATATTATACTTCAGAAGCTCCCCACTTAAGTTGGCATTACTTTTTTATCTGGGTACCAGCGTCCCTTCTTGGGAGCCTGTCTCCTAAGTTTCTGTTGAAGTCCCAACATGCTACCCTGTAAAGCCCTAAAACTGAGATATTGACGGGTAAGGACCCTGAGCTGCCACTGTGTCTATACTGAATGCTGTTCAGAAACACTGCCTTTTAAAATATCTAACAAAGTTGTGGCACCTGGGTGGCTCAGTTGGTTAAGTGTCCTACTCTTGGTTTGGGCTCAGGTCATGAACTCAGGGTTCTTGAGTTCGAGCCCTGCATCAGGCTCCACCCACAGGCTGCTTGGGATTCTTTCTGACCTTCCCCTGCTCACTCTGCCTCTCAAACAAATTAAATTTAAAAAATAAATATCTAACAGTTAACCCAGAGCCTAGGACTTAGAGTATTGTTAATAATCTGAGATGGCCATTCTCCTAATTCTGAAGAAATAAGTGTTCTCCTATTCAGTGACACAAATATAAACATGATACTATGAGATAGTTGTGTTTGTTATTAACCTTTGTCTCTTCTACCCGGTCCTACCACCACTACCTGCCTAACCCCCACCCCAAGCAGAGATCTCAGCTGATCAGAGTTCTTCATCTGGTTGGGTAACCCTTCATTCCTGAAAGGTCTAAATCATGGTAGTCCCTGTCTTCTTACCTGTTTAGTCTTCCGGTACCTTCTTAAACAATTATTTATATTACATTTTCTCTGATGAAGTAACTACTTTATCTCTGGTAAAGAACCACTTTCTTTTTGGATGTGAACTGTGGTATTCATTTCACTGTATAGTTAAGTCATTATGTACACCTTAAACAGTACTGTGTGTCAATTATATCAATAAAACTGGAAAAAAATGAAAATAGAACTTTCTCAATGGGACTCAGACTAGTTTAATAAAGACAGTCTGAACAAGTTTGATTTTTTTTTTTTTAATTTTTTTTTTCAACGTTTTTATTTTATTTTTGGGACAGAGAGAGACAGAGCATGAACGGGGGAGGGGCAGAGAGAGAGGGAGACACAATCGGAAACAGGCTCCAGGCTCTGAGCCATCAGCCCAGAGCCCGACGCGGGGCTCGAACTCACGGACCGTGAGATCGTGACCTGGCTGAAGTCGGACGCTCAACCGACTGCACCACCCAGGCGCCCCTGAACAAGTTTGATTTTAACAAGGACATTGATATTTATAGTTAAAAAAAATTATTGCTAACTGTACAGATCACTACTCTTACATGGATTTACGATGTAGCTATTAAAAAAATCCTGTACACATTCTTACAAATTCTAAAGTTGTGACAGTGTCCTGCTATTTAAGCAGGGCAGTGTCCAGTAAGACTAGCAGAGCCAACTCTGGCACTCATGTGGAATCGTACTAAACAGCAAAAGCTGGCTTCTTTTCCAGAAGGTTTGCATCATGCCTCTTAAAGCTTTGCACCATGACCTTGATGTCTATGATGGCTCGATTTTGCTAGGGCATGGAGAAGTAACTTAGTTATGGTCAGGTTTATAGGGGAAATAGCTTGTGTAAGGTTAACTAAATAAGGTCCACCCAGTATCCCATCTACATGGCATCTGGAGAGTGAGAATTCGGGAAAGAGGTCATTTGTGGCTTTAAGCATGCATTCCAAAGTCAATGGTTCCTGGATTTCATATCCTGTCGGTGGCATTTACAAATCACGTTAAGTTTTGGACAAGTTACTTCAACCCTTCTGAATTTCAGTGTTCTTATCTGTCCAATACAATTGTCCCTATAATAGGGACAATAACTACTTCATATGAGATTGTGGGGATAAAATGGGTTAAGGCCTATAAAGCCCTTAAAAAACGACCACCATGGAATAGACATTGAAAAAACAGTATTCTATTTTGCATAGCAAACCATCAACAAAATGAAAAAGCAGCCTACTGAGTGGGAGAAGATATTTGCAAATGATATATCTAATAAGGGGTGAATGTCCAAAATATATAAAGAACTACACAATTCAAAACACACACAAAAAAAAACAATCCAGTTAAAAGTGGGAGAAGATATGAACAGACATTTCTCCAAGGAAGATTATACAAATGGCCAACCGACACATGAAAAGATGCTCAACATCACTAATTGTCAGGGAACTACAAGTCAAAAACCGTAGTGAGATATCACCTTACACCTGTCAGAATGGCTAAAATGAAGAAGAAAGGAAATAGCAAGTGTTGGCAAGGATGTGGCGAAAAAGAACCTTTGTGCACTGTTCACGGAATGAAATTGGTGCAGTCACTGGGGAAAACAGTAAGGAGTTTCCTCAAAAACTAAAAAATAGGAATATTATATGATCCAGTAATTCCACTACTGGGTATTTACCCAAAGAAAATGAAAGCACTAAGTGGAAAAGATACAGGCACCCCTACGTTTATTATGTTTATTGCAGCATTATTTACAATAGCCCAGATACAGAAGCAATCTAAGTGTCCATCGATAGAAAAATGGATAAAGATGTGA